AACTCTCGTTTAATTATTTTACACCATTACAAGTTGTTAAATTGAGAGAATAAATGTGTGGACAGTATTTGAAACTTATTTTGGTGTAGACAACTCTCATTTGATTAATTCCAACAATTACAAGTTCTTAAATTGACAGAATGAATGTATGGACAAATATTGACCATTATATTTGTGAGTAAATACCTGTTGTTTAATTAATTTCCACCTCTACAAGGTTGAGAGAATAAATGTGTCGACAAATATTTGATACTTATTTAGGTGTAAGAACTCGTGTTTGACCAACTTCCACCATTGCAAGTTGTTAAAATAATGAAATAAATATACTGGTATCATTGGATATTTGATTTAATTGTGAAACTTTCTAACAAAATGTTAACTGCTGGCTTCGAACCCTCAATCAACAATTCCGCAGACACGGTATAAATTCCACAACACCACAGAAGATATTCGTCTGCTGCCTGAATTGTTTTCGTAATATAGGGAACGCCATCGACACTTTAACAAAACTTACCTTGACTTGGGTCTTGTTTATCTCTTGTCACAATCTGGAAACTGTTGAACAAATTGCGCGTCGTCCAGTTTAAGATGTTAGTTATTTTATTATTTATTCATTCAGTTTTGTATGGTGGAGTTTTGTGAGGTTTATTATTTTTTTGCGACGTTCTTTGTTTACTTGTTTACGGTTTGAGAGATTTCAGTTTACTAGTATTTGATTTATGTTTTTACGGTAGCTCTGAGCGGGACTCGAACCCACTGTCTTTTCAAGCTAATTTTGTTTTATTTTGATAGCACGCTTGTGTACCGTTGGTCGTTAAGTGGTGTTCATTTTTCTAACTACTCCAGTGTTCCGATGAGTTGAACGGAAAAGCCAAAACGATTGCTGGTTTCTGATTGCTTCGGTTCTGGTGAGTGTGTATCTAGTGTGATTCGAACCCATGTCGTTTGTATTGGGCGTTTTTTTATTTCCCATGTTGGCTACGCCGTAATATGCAACCACTTCCCCCGTTTTATTGTGATTTTGAGTGTTTAATGGTGTCTTCCTCACCCGTCACGCCATGACCCAGTTTCAACCACACGCCATTTTGCAACACAGTTAGTGACCCTCGGCGTCACCCGACTGACTATATGAGCGTTCTGTTCAACTGTTAAGCTAGGATTTATTACCGTTATTATCATTATATTGTCACGTGATTTGTTTTACCTTATGTGTAATGTGTAAGTATCGTTATTGTAATTTGTATATACCAATTCGTATATACCGAGGAAACGACCCCGATTGAAGGTCATGTATTTTATGACGTCACCAATTCGTGTGTAGGTACTGCTTCTAGATCTGTGCCGATGTATGTGCCAAATACGAATGAAAATGGTACATAAATTGTGGAAATATAGTAGTAAGGCCAAAAAGTCAGATGGCTGTCAATCGGCCATCCTTGACCAGATTTTGAAACAAATTGTCATGGACATGCATCCTAACATGTATAAAGTACATGTATGTGCCAAATTTGAATGAAAACTGACAGAGCACGTCCAAGATACCGCATAAAAACACAAAAACAAGATGCCTGCCAGTCGACCATCTTTGATCCAATTGCGAAATAAATCGTCATGGACATGTATCCTAACATGTATAATCTATGTACCAAGTTTGAATGACAACTGACAAAGCATGTCCAAAATACAACATTTTCAAAAAACAAGATGGCTGCCAGTCGGCCATTTTGAATCGAATCGCTAAACCACTGCATGTGCATATGTCCCACATAAGGTACTAGGCACATGCAAAGGGATTCTGAGATATGACTCCGGACGGACGCACGGACACACGGAGACCGAATTATAAGTCCTTGTTTTCGACTTCGTCCGAACGGGGACTAATAATAAAACTAACAATTAACTGAGAATTCAAGCCTTCACAAAAACTAATGTCAGATACCACTCCCATTGATCAAAAACTATGATAATTATTTGAAATTTTAAACCTCCAAAAAAACCAAAAGACCAGAACACAATGCTGTCTTATATCAATCTATAACTTTGAAAGCTTTCCAATAATTTAAGAATTTAATCTCCAAGAAAACCAATGTCAGACTCGAATCCATCTGGTATTAATCAAAAACTGACAATTCTTCGATAATTAGCAGATGATTAATATGGCAACTCCACAGTCCTTTTCAACATGTTAGCGGATTTTTTCAAATAATATTGTAGATGAGAGTCATTGCTCAAAACATCAACAAAATCATGAATTACCGGTACAATGAAGGCAGACAAACATTCAAATTTAAATATTTAATAGTGATTGGCTTAAAAGTTCACCATTGTCTACGTCCATAATGAGCACATGTGCATTCATATGACACAGCAATTTTGATTTTTAGAAAAAATAATATTTTTAAAATGTTTCCAAGCCCTCTATCCTTCTCTGTATTATCTACATCAAGGATTTATAAGGTTATTGTATTCAACTTTCATAACCATGTAAAATGATATGCAATAATGATCTGATCTCACAAGAAGTCAAGAAGTGTTCATGTGTCTTAATCAAACATAGTTATAACTAATTACAGAACATCAGTGGGTGTTCGACTGCATTAATGGAAATGAGCAAGATTATTGTTGTATCAAAAAACATAAAAAGCACATATCACAAGCTTTGCGAATAAGCAAGAGCACTACCAAAAATGGTCTGTGATAAACATGAACCAGTTTATTCACAGGCCCACTATTAAATTTACATTAGGCTTTTGAGATCATATTGCAATTCAAGTGATTATTTCAAATCACAAGTGATCTTCATCACATCACACACTATAAATCCTTGCTATTGTATTTGTACATCTATTTTACATGTGTATAAAACCACTTGTCAATTGAATGGTAGACATGACCCGTCACAATCGTTTTACCACTACACCACATACTACAGTCGTCCGCAACATTGTCATTTATGACGGGAATAATCAAAAGCGTGCTGTAGTACAAACTACAAACAAATAAATCACGATAATAATTTTTCAAATCCCGGATAACAATACATACCCATTTGTTGGTCGTTGAATACAACCATAAAGTCGCAGAATGTCTCACAATTCTCGTGCAACTTATTGTCATGATTTCATCGTCAATGATATATTTATTACTGAGTAGGATGAACATAGAATAACTTACCAGAAACGAAGCTGTCAGTAAAACGAAATCGATTCTCCATTCAAAGCAGGTCAACATAAAACTGCCGCCATATTGGAATTGACCTTTCCAATCATGCTTTGCGGCTGTTTTCGTAAAACGTCGGGAAAGTGTGCAAAATGATATTTTTGTTTTTTTCATTGAAATTAAACAAAATTGTAGTCTTGGCTATAAAATGAATACATACAAATTAAGCTGAAAGATCAAGTAAGTTTAGATTTTTCTTTTTTCTTTTAAATATGAACTAACTCGGAGATGCCGAAAATAGCCGAATAGATACCCCCAGCAAAGTAATTCTGGCCTCTTTCTCGTGAATTTCCAACATGCCACCAGTAAGTTTTGTGTCCTCCCGCAATTTCATGCAGAATTTCATCTTTTTCAATGTCTTTTTTTTCTGTTTTACTCCATAATGGGTTTTGAATGTATGTAGATTTGATTTATATAGCAGGAAAGCCCACTCGCGGAAAAAACAATGTATTTTTATAGTTTGTAAATCTTGGGAGGGCAAACATCGCGCTGGGTGAACACGTGTTCTAGTATATCGACTTATCCATAAGGTTTAGAAAAAAATCTACCGGGGTGGAAGGCATGTCTACCTGTGCCAGACAAGCAGGCTTTAGGTATCGGAGACATGTAATTTATAGAAATTAACTGTCGTTGGTGTGATAAAAGGGTGTGTTATAGTCTTGTTACAAGAACACCACTTTTAATATATGTTCGGACCACAGAAGCCTGACATCTATTCGTGTCATTACATGGACGTCTATGGGGTGGAACGACTGTTCCGGTACAGGACCCTCACCCTTGCTCAAATTATATAAATAAAATAGTATCCACGCTTCAAAACCCTGAAAATCACAAATACTTGTTTCTGGCCGATCAGCCCACAGGGAGCCCAGGAACTATAATCAACTGTAATACGTAGTCTCTATGAGCAGGGGGGGGGGGGGGGTATCGGCTGGTATCTAGTGTAAGAAATAGACAAGGAATGAAGGCTCCAGCCAGCTCACATTTTTTAAACTCGAAAAAACAGACGAAAGGAATGAAAAATAAAATATAAAAAAAATACCAGGTTGAAAGAATATTAGTTGCTTCTTCAAATTTCGCCAAAGCCCTACCTACATTTTACCGATATCTGCAGAATAAATCAAGAAAA